GTACAGATTTTCAGTATACTTTTTCCATATATTTTCTTCTGGTCACTTAGTGTACTTTCCTGTTGCTTCTTTCCACATTACACTGGTGCCTCGCTTAGCGATCTTAACTGGTTCAAAAAAAAAAATCGCTATGAGAAAACATCGCTAAGCGAAACACCATTTCCCATAGGAATGCATTGAAAACCGGATAATCTGTTCCAATGGGAACGGATTACCATCCTTAAGCAAAAATCGCCATAGGAAACATCGCTAAGCAAAATGTGGTTCCCCCATTGGAATGCATTGAATAGGTTTCAATGCATTTCAATTGTTTTGACAGGTCTGTAGTTCAATGCATTCCAATGGGGGGAAAATTCACCAAAAATTAACGAAGACTCAGAACAAAGCCAAATTAAGTTTGCAAAAGTTTTACAAGGAGCATTAACGATTCCAAGCATTTTAAACAGCTTTTGAACATTTTAAGACACTTTAAAAATAGCGAAAACGGACATCACTAAGCAAAACAGGGGGGCCCAAACTGTCATTGCTATGCGCGGCATGGTCCCGAACATCACTATGCGAAATTTTCCCATTGGAAACATTGCTAAACAGAGTGCAAGATCACTCCTAAAACCTCATCACTAAGCAAATACATCGTTAAACGAGGCAATCGCTAAGTGAGGCACCACTGTATTAGGCTTAAACTTTCCTTTGATCTCTTGGATTTTCTGGAAGAGATCTCTTGTTTTTCCCTTTTTGTTATTCTCTTCTAGTTCTTTGAAATGTTCATTATAATAGTTATCTTTGTTGTTACATGGCAGTTGCTGAGAAGCAGCATTCAGGATTTTGACCCTACGTCTGTCACCTTTCTCTGTTGCTACTTGTCTCTCCTTAAAATATGTTAGTATTTCTTCTGTCTACCATCTAGATTTTTCTTTTCTTTTTACTACAGGAAGTATCTTTTTGCCTTCTTCCCTATAATATCTCTGGTTTCAATCCGTAGTACTTCTGGTTCATGATAAATTGAGTATAGTAATGCAGATATGTTTTTATGTGGAATTTAAATTAATCAGAAATGCTAATTATATTTTGACACTAGAATACTTTTACTGTTCTTTTCCAGCTTTACTCTAATGTTAGATACCAATAGTTTATTATCAGTACCACAATCTCCTCCTGGTCTTGTTCTGACAGAGAGAATACAACTTCTCCATCTCCTGCTTCCAATTACATACTCTATTTGATTTCTACATTGGATATCATGTGTACAGTCATCTGTTTCGTTGCTTGAAGTGTATGTTTTAACAAACATATTGTTGGTTTTGCAGAACTCTATGAGTCATTCTCTTTCGTTTCTGATAATTAGGCCAAATATTCTAACATTTGATTCTGCTTTGTTTCCTACTTTTGTATTCCAATCATCTATGATTATATGTTTGACTAGCATTATTCATTCAGATCTTACATTCACTGTTATTTTGCTGCTCTCTATGTCTATATTCTGATATTTCTGCCTCTTGATATGTTATTTTGTGCCTTATTTTTCCCTATATTGTTTTTAGATGACTGTAAACCACCCAGAGTAGTGCATTGCACTAATGGGGTAGTATATAAATTGAATGAATGAATCAATCAATCAACCAAGTTCTTCGCTGATGGTGGCATTAGATAATCTAAGCTAGCAAAGTGCCAGTGAGTTGTTTTTGCTCTCCTCATTCGTTAGAAGCAAAGACTGTGGATACATCTATTAATGGAAAACATGTAATGTCCCTTTACCCTACTTAACAGCAAGACTAGATGCTTTTAAGGCTATGTCCTGGCATAGAAGCTCAGCTGGCTTGCCTTGATTTCTGAAGCACACAGTGCCCACTAGCTGTTAAAGAACTAGCTTGCTTGTTCTTTCACATGTCTAAAGTAACACTGGCAAGGCTCAATGAAAGAAAGAGTGTACGAGATGAGAAGAAAAAAGAAGAGAAAAGGCAACAACAGGCTTCAACAGGATTATTTTATTAATTCATTCTTGTAAATAAATATTTATAATACACTTTTCTGCATGAAGTCTACCCAAGGCAGGGAATAAAATCTAAACATCAAACTGTAAGAAAATCCTGTTCCAATAAAACTTTACTATTAAAAAAAAACCCTCGGTAATAAATAATGAACTAAAATGTAGTGAAACACAAAAACTATTCAGCCAGTATAAAATCAGTTCCAAAGTCACAGTAATGAAACATCAGTAAACATCAGCATGACCAAATAAAACATGCCAGTTAAACACTTGAAAGAGTCAAGTGTTACAAGTCTTTTAAAATATTGCAGTTCATACCCTGGGATTGTCACCACTGAATTTAATAGAATGGCAAGTAATTAATAGTTGAGGGGATCAACCACTCTTCCATTGGTGTGTACACAAGCTGAAAGCTAATGCTATTGCTTAATGAGAAAAATCTAATATCCAGTAGGATTGCCAAATCTACAGTATCTCATTCCCTGAGATTTCAGTGAAAAACCTTACACCAAGAACCAGTGATGTTACAAGGATTGACTTCTGTGATGTCACAGAGATAAGACTGTATAGGAGATGGAAAAGGTTCTGTAAGATGGTTGAAAATATGAGGGGAATTCAGGTGCATGGGCTCCAAATTTGGGTAAAATCCTGGTGGAAATTTTCACTCTTGTTGAGTAGATTTGGTAGGCTTAGACATGCTGCTAATTTAGTAGTCTTTTGATCCAAAAGAAAAGCAAAATGGAATTTAAAATGGAATTTTGGGTAGGCAGCACAGTTTGAAAATGGTTTGTTGTCACCAAAGTGGTCTGGAAACAGCCCACTGTTCCCCCCTCCTTTGCTCAGCATGGTGCCCTCCCAGCAGAATTCGTTTTGACATTTGGCCTCCATTTACACCATAGGCCTGCAGCCATCCTTAACGCAGTGGCAGACAGACTCCCCTCCAGACCTTTAAGCTGGTGCTTTTGACAGCAAGTAAACAAGCACATCCTATCCACTAGAAAGTTTCTTCAAAACAACAGTTATTTTTTTGTACCATACTGAAAAATATTATTGTATCACAAGCGTAGCAGATTAGAATGGATTCAAGCAAAAGCCCAAGGCTTGCAAACCTACCCAAGATGCCTAGGGGGACACATCACACTGTTTTCCTGTTATCCTGTCTGTCACTCCTGTGGAACATTAGCATCATTTGACCTCCAATTCCCCCCCCCCTTCTTTAAACTTCAAGTGTCCTTCATAAATAGAAAAGGGAGGAAAAACCTTGCCTTTGTGCTTTAAGAGGTGACAGATTTCCCATAAACTTCAAAATTGCACTTATTGGTTTATTTCATTTTGTTCAAATAGTGGAGAAAGCAAGATAATGGTCAATTGTGTATTCCTTTTCAAAAAGGTTGCTTAAAAGGAGCACCAGAATGACATACTCTACTTTCATCAGTGGCTAGTTAACATTTGGAACACGATAAAAACAATGAATGAACAGTATATGATCAAGATCAAAGAATCATATAATAATGGAATTATTGAATCCAACCCCTCAAATCCACCCCCCTTGCTCAATGCAGGAATCCAAACCAAAGTATATCTGATGGATGGTTGTCCAGTTTTCTCTTGAATGCCTCCAGTGTTGGAGCAATCACCACCTCATGAAGTAATTGGTTCCACTGTCATACTGCTCTAATGGTTAGGACGTTCTTCCTGATATTCAGCTTCTTGTCAGTTGAGGCTATTTTTACAGGTCCAGCATTCTGGGATGATCTTATTCATCGTATTACTGAGCATCCCCATCTGGTAACTGTGCATTTTGTTTTTATTTCCTAAGTGTAAAACTTTGCACTTATCTCTGTTAAATTTCATTCTTTTGTTTTCAGCCAAGTGCTTGAGACTAGCAACGTCTTGAATCTTGTCTCCGTCTTCAACAGTATTGGTTTCTCCACCAAATTTTGTGTCACCTAGAAATCTGATAAGCATTCCCTGCACCCCCTCATCCAAGTCATTACTAAACATGTCAAAGAGTCTTGTAGTACTCCACTTGTTAACTTCTCACAGTTTGAGGAGACACTGATATGCACAAGTGGTGATATGCACCACTTGTGTATCCACCTGATAGCTTTTCTATCCAGCCTGCATTTAGCTAGCTAGCTAATCAGATTACCATGGGGAGCGGTATTCTGTCAAAGGTTTTGCTGAAGTCAAGACATATTACATCCACAATGCTCCCATTACCTACCCAGAGAGTTGCCAAATCAAAAAAATGAGGTAAGATGAGTCTGGCAGGATTTGTTTTTGTGAAACAAAGCAGAGGGAAATGGTACATCCACTGCTAGCAAAAATACAAATGAGAGACAGAGTCTCAAGATGTATAAAAATATTGACAACACAGACTTCATTCTTATCTATAAAGCTGAGCCTCAATGCATTTTGGCTGTGGCGAATCCATGTTGGCTTCTAGTAATAACTGCACTGCTTACAAGGAGCTTGCAGGGGGACCACTTTATAATCTGCTTGAACATTTTCCCTGGGATTGCTATTAAGCTGACTGGTCTATAGCTCCCAAGTTCCTCCTTTTGCCCTTTTTGAAGATAGGAATGTAAGGAACCCCCTAAGAGCATTGCACTAGCCGAAGGAACCACTTTAGTTACTACCTTCCATCACCCTTTGAACCCAGGCTGGGTGAAGACCTGGAGGGTGCCTGAATTAGCAACTATGGGTAAGCTTCTAACCTAAATTTTCATCTCCTTACCTGAAACAGAATTTCTCCTAATTGTGCACTTTGTACTTAGTACACCAATCACACAAGGTAGCCCACCCAAAATACTTAAAAGTAATGAACGCAGCCATTTGGCCAGGCACCTTCTTTAAATACTCAAACCCACTTTTCGCCCAAGGAACATATCTTGGTAAAATATTTAAAAGTTTATTTAAAAATACTTTAAAAGCAAGAGAATTCAAAGAGGCAGTTGTACAGCTTCAAAACAATGTAAAAGCATTAAGCAATTCATATTCAGATAATTAAGTTAGCTCTAAGAAAGCTTTCCCCATAAAATTATAAAAGCTAACTACTTCTGCCTAAAACTATTTTCCAGCTAAGTAATCGTGACTGAGTCTCTGCTACTGAGTCTCTATGCCTAATCCATCATCTGCAGTCAGACAGATGAAAGGATAGCTAGCTGGACAAAAATTAGCCTCTAACTTTTTGCTAGATCTTAAATCCATGTTCTCCCAGTGTTATCCTGTCAGTTCCAGTCCTTTGTTCAGCAATGTCACCCTCAAAATTTAACTTCTTTCAACCCCTTCCTTCAATTCTCAAGAGAGTTTCTTCTCTTAATGAGCCATTAAGAAAGGAATGTGGTGTTTAGGCTCTGCCCAGTTTATCCTTGAAGCAGAGTAAAATAAATCTTCTTTCTCATACAGATAAAGTGCCACCTGTAACAGACTGGAGAGGTACAACCTAACCCATCCAATTTCCTCATATGCCCCTCCTCCTGGAGATAAAAATTCAAGATCTAGTAGTCTTGCATTTTTATTAAACAGCAAATTAAGCAAGATATAATACGTTTTATATTGATTCACTATGGCTAATACAATTTTTTCACTATTTCTAGCAATTTCTTCTAGCTTCAGCTGAGGTAGAAATTTACACTAACAGCAGCATAAATGATTATACTTTGGTTTGATCAGAAACCTGAAAAAGAGAAAATAGAGAGAAAACGTGTTAGTAAAAATACTGAATACAATTCCAGACTGGGAAAAAGAATCCACAAGAGATTATTCTCTTTTCTCTCTTCCACTCCATAGTACATCCATCTGCCACAGCATTCTGCCTTCCAGGAATATGCTATACTTCAGAATCAAAATCTTGTAAGGCTAAACTCCAATCCAATAATTTCTGATTTGCATTTTTCATCTTCTGTAGCCATTTAAGAGCAAAATGGTCTGTCTGCAACAAAAAAATCTCTTCCTCCATAGGTAGGGGTTCAAGGCCCATATGATTGCAAGTGATTCCTTCTCTGGAACTGAAAAAGCTCTTTTGACACTCCTGACTCCAAACTACTTTGACACATTAGGCCAGTGGTGTCGAACTGTGGCCCTCCAGATGTTCTTGGCCTTCAACTCCCAGAAATCCTGGCCAGCAGAGGTGGTGGTGAAGGCTTCTGGGAGTTGAAGTCCAAGAACATCTGGAGGGCCACAGTTCGACACCACTGCATTAGGCCAATAAATGCAAGCAGTAATTCTCAGTAGAGTCTTTTTAATGCTGAGGTGGCCTGAGAAGGGTGATTGATGAGCTAACTCCAGAACCTTCTCTCTGTAAGACTGTGGAATGACCAGCTGGCATTTTGGGGCTAAATCAAGACAGGTGTCCTATACAAACTTGTGATCCAACAGTCCATTTCAACCCAGCAGAATCTAATTGTTTTTGCTTTAGACAGAGGTAAATCACTGTCAGCTTGGTCCCTTAGTTGCTGTAATGTGGGATCAGTTAATTGTGCCTGCTTAAGTTCAGGGCAAACAACCAGAGCCATGGTTTGTAAAGAATCTGAAATCTCTTCATTTAACTTACTGGCTTTGGTTTTCTCTATGGGCCATAAATTCTACCTTTCATAGAATCATCATAGAATCATCATAGGGTTGGAAGGTACATTGGAGGTCTTCTAGTCCAACCCCCTGCCCAAGGCAGGAGACCTCATGCCATCCTGGACCTCATACCATCCTGGACTGATGGCTGTCCAATCTTTTCTTGAGAACCTCCAGCGATGGGGCACCCACAACATCAGGAGGCAAGCTATTCCACTGCTTAATGGTTCTCACTGTCAGGAAATTCCTTATTATTTTCAGGTTAGATCTCCCTCTAACAAGTTTCCACCCCTTGGTTCTTGTCCTACCCTCAGGTGCAGTGGAGAATAAATCGATGCCCTCTTCCCTATGGCAAACTTCAGATATTGGAAGAATGCTATCATATCTATCCTCCGTCTTCTCTTCATTAAGCTAAACGTATGTACCTAGTTCTTTTAGTTGCTCTTCCTAGCATTTAGCCTCCAGTCCCTGTATCATCTTTGTTGCTCTTCTCTGCACCCCTTCCAGGGCCTCATCTTTTTTTTTTCTATTGTGGTTGTATTGTGATAACCAGAACTAGACACAGCATTCCAAGTGCAGCCTCACCAGCATGGTATAGAGTGGTACAAACACTTCCCATGATCTCGATGCTATCCCCTTGTTGATGCAGTCTATGACTGTGTTGGGTTTCTTGGCAGCTGCAGCACACTGCTGACTCATCCTCAGGTGGTGGTCCACCAGGACACCAAAATCCCTCTCAAGTCTGTCTAGATCCTTTTGAATGTTGAGTCTATCTATTAGCAATTCCCCCCAGCTCTGTGTCATCAACAAATTTGATGAATGCTCCTTCAATGCCCTCTTCCAGGTCATTTCTGAAGATGCTGAAGAGCAGTGGGCCCAAGACAGAACCTTGAGGAACCCCACTGTACACTTCCCTCCACATAGATGTGGTTCCGTTCAAATCCATCTGGTAGTTGCGCTGCTTATCCCACTTTCTTCTATCTTACGCAGAAGTAGGCTCTGGTCTACCTTATTAAATGCCTTACTGAGGTCTAAGTATACAATCCACTGCATTTCCTTGGTCCCCTAATTTAGTCACTTTATCAAAGAAGGCAATAAGATTTGTTTGGCATTACCTGTTCTTAACAAACCTATGCTGGCTTCTAGTAACCACCTTGTTATTTTCTAGGTGCTCACAAATCTGCTGCTTGATTATTTTTCCCAGGATTTTCCCAGGTACAGTATTGATGTTAATTCATCTGTAGTTTCCTGGATCCACTTTTCCTTCCCCTTTTTGAAGACTGGAACCACATCAGATCTTTTCCAGTCCTCTGGCAGTTTGCCCATGCTCCAGGACCTCTCCAAGATTTCACTCTTAGGTTGGTTTGCTATGCAAAGAAGGAAGAAGGCCTCTGCATCCACAAGCTGCTGTTTCTCTCCTAATCATTTCCAAAACAGGCCTGGCTGCTTTTGTTTGGCTTCCAGTTTGGACATTAAACAAACAAGACTTTTTGGTTTTCCAAGGAAGGTAGCAGAGATTGTTCCCAACCAGAAAGTGAGGTTCTTGTTGGGGGCATTGTGAACCAAAATAAACTTTTTGCCTTCCCAGCCTTGATACCACAGCCTGACATTTATGGGAGCATACTGCACTCTCTGTTTCTTAGAATCATAAGACTGGATTCGGAATTTCAGTCCCAACATAACCCTGAGAAATTAGGTAGCAGGACAGTGAGGAAATGTCGGCTCTGGTATCAACCATGCCAGAAATATAAACTTCCTGAGTCCCACTTAAAAGAGTAATTTTCTGGTATCAACCATGCCAGAAATATAAACCAAAAGAGTACTGCACTTACAATTCATCTTGAAAACCCACATAGCCTCTTGCTTTGAAATAATGGTCTCTGGATCCACGGCCTGAAAGTCTCAAAGTTGCTTCTGAGGTTTGGCTATGGCAGCTCCTAGAATGAAGGTGGGTCACCCAGCTCTCTGCTGGCTGTAGGTGTGTTGCTGGAATCGCTTGTTGCATTCCCCTGCCTCTGCCGGCTCCAATGTCAGCTTCAGCATTAATGCCTTGCAGCCTGTCTATTTGTTAATCCAGTGTTGGGTAGAAAACTTCTTCCCCTGAAGAACTGCCTCCCGTAAATTCTTCTTCATCCAGCACTGCATCTCCTTGTTAAACTGACTGTAGAGCACTGGGTCTGGAAGACTGGCTTATAACTTTTATCTTCAACTCTGAACCTTGGGTGGGAAAGAAGTGGTTGCTGGCTTAGGATTCTCCTCTGAAAGCTGAAGGCAGGTGCATTTTGTACATCCCAAAGTGCCACAGTGGAAACATTTAAAAGGTCTACTAGGAACCATAGGCTTAGATGTGACTCCAGAGGCAGGGGAAGAGCGAGCAATGCTGCTGCCTGGCTGATGGGAAGATTTACTAGCATCTGGATTTTTAAAGGTTCCATCAGCCTTCTCTTTGAAACTTCCCCCGCTGTTATCTACACCAGAATGTCATAGTCCTCCAGGCTTCTGCTTCTCTCTTTGCTTGTATGCTCAAAGCTCATCAGAAGCTAGGGCCAAATCCTGGCTTTTAGTAATCTGCTTCTCTAAGAGAGGGACGTGTAGATCTGCAGATCCATGGTGCTTCCTTCAGTATGTTTGTTCTCTCCTCAGCATTCTACTCTGCTTTGTCTTGCTGTTCTGTCACCTCCAAGGGCCTCCCTTGGCTCCTACTGCTTGAAAGTTCTATATATTCTTCATCTTCTTTTGGAGCCTTAAGTGTGGACACTTGCTGCTCTACAGTGCAACCAATCTACACTTATGGCATGTGTGCACTGTGTTATTTTCAGACATGAGGACAAACATTGCACACACTTTGCAGGTCACCATCACTGAAGTGTTTCTCCACAATCCCTGTTATCTCTTTACTTTCTTCTGCTTGTCTATAAGTAGCCTTTCCTTTTGTTTTGTCTGCCTTTCATGATTCTGGGAAAATCCACTAATACATAATTCCCTGCTTTTACCTCCTTGGTCTCCTGGGTTTTTTTTTTTTTGTCTCTTCCTCCAGTAGACTCTTTTTCCTTACTACCTTTCCTTACTACCTGTCCCTCATCAAATTCTTGATAGCTCTGCCTGTTTGCTCACTCTGATTGCTTGCTCCCTGGAGTCTGTCTCAGTTTTATTCCTCTGGTATGCTCTGTTAGAAATCGGCAAACAGAAAGGAAATCTAAAAAGTGTGGACCAAATGGATAGGTGATATAGCTGTATTAGTGATTTCTTCTATTGTTAATCTCCACATTATTGCTTTGTTCTTTTATAATTCCATTTTTAAGTACAACCCAAAAAGTAAAAAGGGTGGTCCTTGTACACAATCTGAGAGTAAGGTTGTGTCCCTTTTTAGACAACTAAAAATCACACACATATTGAAATTCTGTTGATTAGCATAGTAACTCGCTTTCAAATAGTCCCATTTAATCAGTGGAGATTTAGTAAGTCAACTCCTCATAAGTTCAAATAGGTCTACTCCAGTTGTACTTAATATAGCATAGTAGGTTGCAACTAGAATAGGAATGCATTCCATATGAATCAAAGGAATACATGGAGGAGTTCACTTACTTATTCAATGGGGCTCCTTTAGTGTGCTAAGTCGTAAGTCATTCATAAGACATTTTTTGCATCATACCAGTCTTTATCAGATTAGGTACCACAGAGCTGTGGGTGATGCAGAAAAAACATAAAAGTACCAAAAAAATCAGGCCAAATGTGAGTCAGGCTCCTTTCAAAATGGGGGTTGAACACTCTGATTAGAGGTATTGGTTTCAGATTTCACCTCTGGTGATATGAATTAGAATGTTTCTTTCAATACTACTGAGGTACCCAGTGTGGTGTAGTGGTTAGACTGACAGATTAGGGTTCTGGGGAACAGGGTTCAAATCACTACTTAACCATGGAAACTCATGGGGGGAGTGGAAGTGGTAAATCCAACTTTCACCCTGAAAGTTCTATTAGGGTCATTTTAAGTAAGTTCTGACTTGATGGCACATAACCAAATACATACCAGAGATGAAATCTAGAACCTGTGTCTCTGATCCAAGGTCAGATCATTGTATTTGATGTGTGGATAAAAGAGGGAGGGAAATATTGGGGAACACTGGTTATTCATTTTAGTTAGCATAGTATGAGGTAGAACAACAACACAGAAAAAGCAAGATCAGCTCAGTCTCAACAGCCCCCATTGGTTTCTTTTTCACCAAACCAATACTTTGCATGATAAAATCACCCTAGAAGCGTTTAAAGCAGAGAAAGATATCTTAACTTACAGTTACCATGTGTAGTTACAGTCAGAAGAAAAAAAAGAGGAAAATGGAGTCTTCAGCACATGGAAACCCTTCATGCTTGCTGCTTGAATGAAGGTCAAAGAGAGAAGGCAGCTATCAACAAAACAACGGAAACAAGCAAAATAAACAATTATACCAGTTTAAATTCTCAATAGGATTCTGGCCATTTTAAATAATAGCTTCTAGCTGAGTAGGAAACATAGTTTTATAATGATTGCTCCCTACACAAACACACATTGTTGTGAACAAAGATTATTTCTCTCTGGATTGGTTCTTGCTACCTTTATGAGAGTTACTGAATCCTATACACTTGATCCCTGGTGAAAGGCCACATTTGCTTTCCTAAACCCTTCATTTGCTTCCAGCCAGGAAAAAGCCCTTCCACTATAACATTGCACTTGAAGTGTGTGTGTGTTTAGTCCTTTAGTCGTGTCCGACTCTTCGTGACCCCATGGACCAGAGCACGCCAGGCCCTCCTATCTTCCACTGCCTCCCGGAGTTGTGGCAAATTCATGTTGGTTGCTTCACAGGCACTGTCCAGCCCTCTCCTCCTCGGTCGTCCCCTTCTCCTCTTGCCGTCATACCTTCCTAACATCAAGTTTTTTTCCAAGGACTCTTTTCTTTTGTAGTAACAAGTAGTAATATGGAAGTTTTATTCATATTGCTACACTTTTGAGTCATCCATGCAAATAACCAGTAGATCCAGCAGTCATCATGGGATGAATATGTATAAGCCAGAAACACTCTTTCAAAGACATTGTGAGCCTAATCTAGCCTAAGTCAAACAGTAACAGTGACAACCACAACCACAGCAATACCATATAATCAATTCAATTTTGAGTCATGATAACTATAAGTCCCATTAAATCCCATTAAATTCAACCAGTCCAGAGAGAAATAAACTTTGTTCACAACAGTGTGTGTTGGTGTAAGGAGCAATCATTATAAAACAATGTTTACTACTAAGCCAGAAGCTATTATTGAAAATGGCCAGAATCCTATTGAGAATTTAAACTGGTATAATTATGTTGCCCATAACTAATAAGCTGCCCTTCACTTTCCTTGCCACATGCCAATTATGCAACCTGCATGCAGTGAACATCAACTTGTTAATTAGCAACAATTCACCAAAGCTATTTACACAGTGAAATTTTCACTGCCTGAAGTTGCCGACAGGATTCTGACCTCTGAATTAAAAAAACCACACACAATTTGTATGGCTTGACACCTATGTAAACTTATTAACATAGGCTGTGTTGCTGCACAAGTAAAAATAAAGGAATTGGTGAAAACAGCCAGCAAAATCATCATGGTATGATGTGGGAAACCCGTGGCTATACCTAAATGGCTCTGCCATGTCTCAGCAAGCGGTGTCTCTACTCTCCATGAGTATAAAGCTGCAACCCAAATGATCGACAATTTGGCTCCCTTTTATTAAGTTTGAGCAGAAAAACATCCCCCACCCCGTCATTCTTTTGATGTCTTTTTCAGGTATTCCAGGATCCTAGTGTCAGAGATTATGAATCTGAATTTTCTCAGGAACAATAAGACTAAAAAATCCCCTGGGAGATACACACTTGCTTAACATGAACAACTGTGGCTTCTGCTGATGACTTGACACCGCAATTGTCACTTCTTGGGCTTGCCCTGCTGGGAGCTTAGCACTTTAGAGATTTTGCTGGCCAAATGACTTAACAATTCACTGCCTACTGGTTTCTCCAAATTTGAACCACTTCAGCTTGCTAAAATAGTATTATGTTACTGACATGCTTTTTTAAAATAAGTGTCTCTTAAAAAATGTGATAGTGTGTACATTGGCACCTGCCTTCAGAAACCATGTATACATAGTCCAGTAAAAGGGAGAAAAAAAATTCTGCCACTGTGTCCATAGCTGCAAACTGCTTAGTGAAAAGCATCCATTCTTAGTCATTCTGTTTAGTATGTTTTTAATCCTAACAGTACGTTTATCATTATGTGCATCTAGTTGCCCTCCAACATGTGGCAATCCTATGAATGAATGACCTCCAAAATGTCTTACTATTAGCAGCTCTGCTTGGTTTTATAATCTCATATTTGATCTTCCTCTTTTCCTTCTGTATTCACCTTTTCCTTTCCTTTCCTTTTTTGTCTCTTGTCTTGTCATGATGTGCCCAAAACACAACCAGTAACAGACCTGTTGCCTGTCTGAAACTAGTACTGTATATAGAGGGATCTGTTGGTTTACTCTCCTTACATACAGGCAAGCGATTTTATGTGCGGTATAGCGGAGTATGAAGGTGTGAGTCTCTGCTGTGCTGTGAAGTTCATTCGCTAACATTGGATCATTTAATCTGTTAGCCTTGCCCACTACAAAGGACTGTGGAAGAGTTTGGGCAGAGGACACACCTGAACTCATTAGAAAGGTGAAAGTATAGTGGGCTGGTACTTCTTAGGGGAAGAATCTGCTACTCAAGAGTGTGGAAAAGTACATTATTGGGATTTTAAAAGTCAAATGCAAACAAAGCCAAACTCCCGGGCTGAAAGAGCAAACCCTCTTTTGTTGTCTATGTTCTTTGACAAGTGGCAGGAAGACAAGGCACCAGGCAGAGGACGGAGAGCAAAAAGCCCGCCTGTGCCACTGGGCAGCCAGAGGACTCCTGCCTCTCTCGGGGATCAGAAGACTGGTCAAGAAAGGCGTTTCTTTGGCATATGGGAAACCATATGAGCCCCAGGGAAGGGTGCAGGGGAATGGAAAGGAGAGTGAGCGCCGGAGGCAAAGTGGGCGCAAATTTCTTCCCGAAGTGCTCGTGACTCCCAATTCCTCGAGAAAGTGAGACTTTGGCTTGTACCTTTCCTTGTCGCGGACACTGTGCGGGACCTTCTGCCACAGTATGGACGAAGAGGAGCCTCCTGGCCCTGGCATCGGCGTGTTTGCGGAAGAACTCCAACACCTCGCTTCGAACACCGACGGAGTCCCCAGCAGCTTTCGCCGAGGGCAGCGGTCGGGCAAAGGCACCCGCTTGCCTGGACGTGGGCTCCAACGGCATCCAGAGCTTCGCCGTCTCGCCCAACAGCCACTTCGGCCTGGAGGCGCAGAGCCGCGCCGACGGGCTCAAGTGCGCCGAGCTGGTGCTGCTGAGCGAGCTGGACCGCGAGGCGCAGGCCTCCTACCGCCTGGAGCTGGTGGCCAAGGACGGCGGCAGCCCGGCGCGCTCGGGCACGGCCACGGTCAGCGTGCGGGTGCTGGACGCCAACGACAACGCGCCCGCCTTTCCGCACGGCGCGCTCCTGACCCTCGAGCTGCCCGAGGACGCGCCCCCGGGCTCGCTGCTCCTCGACCTGGACGCCTCGGACCCGGACGAGGGCGCCAACGGGCAGCTGCTCTACGCCTGGGGCAGCCAGGTGCCCGCCGAGGCCCGCCAGCTCTTCGGCCTCGACCCGCTCTCGGGCCGCCTCACCCTCCAGGGCGCCGTCGACTACGAGCTCCAGCGCGCCTACGAGCTCGACGTGCAGGCCAGCGACCGCGGCGCCACCCCGCTGGCGGCCAGCTGCAAAGTGGTGGTGCGCCTCCTCGACGTCAACGACAACGCGCCCACCATCAGCGCCATCCATCAGCACAGTCCTGGACGGCAACACACCGGGCGCTTACCACGGCGCCGTCCAGGCTGCCGGCCCGGACCTCGGGCCCAATGGCAAAGGCACCTACCGCTTGCGGGAGAAACCAGTCCAGCCGGATTCCCGCCCCATCCCCCCGATCGCGGTATATCCCCATAGCGGGGTCCTGCGAACCGTGAGCGCCCTCGACTGTGAGCAACCATGGAGCTGGACGTAAGGATGACAACTTGCAACGGCGGTACCTCACAACTCTGCCAGCAGACCCGGGTTAGGGTCATGGTGGAGAATTCCCACTGCTGCTCCGTGCACCAGTTGGTTTCGTGAGCCTTCCGGCGGCAGCCTAGGATGCACATGAGAGCCCCAACACGGAGCTGTCTTTCTCCCTACAGTAATGGCAATCAAGGCCAAGTTCTTCAGCATCAACGCAGGGACAGGAGAGCTTCCTGGAGGGACCCCGTCCAACTTCACTATTCATCTGATCGCTGCTGCCGTGGATGGCGTAAGGCCTTCCCTGACGTGTAGTTATGCTGCTTCTCATTCCCACGTATATACTACCCTCTAGTGTGGAGATCGTGGCTATGCAGCCCACTGCTGCCAGTGAAGAGCAAACTTTGAATCGCTCCGTGGTGCTGATCGCTGTGGGGCTGGAGGCTGCGGCTTGCTGACGTTCCCCATCCTGCTGGTGGGGGCCTCCACTTGCAAAATCGGAGTCCCTTTGCAGGGATGCCCTCCTAGAGGCAGACAGCAGACACGGGAGGAAGGAAACTGCCCTGGAAGAAAGGAGTGAAGATCCTTTGTGTGCAAGAAGAGGGGACAGTCCCCGCTGTACCTTTGAGGTGATTAGTTGTAGGACTTGGGTTCTTCTTAGTGAACTTTTGTGCTGATGATTTTGGCAGCCTTTCGTCCCCGAAAGGATCACGGTTATGTTTCTGTCTGTGTTAAAAATTTTGACTGGTCTTTCCTTTAAATAATAATTTTTAAAGACATGAAAAATGTCTTTCTTTCTTTTTGTCACATATGTAATAGTGTCCCTGAATGAAACTAGGATGTTGTTGTGTGTATTATTATTTTTTCTTCTGCAATGTTTCTTTCCACAAACAGTTTGGTGTTTATCCAGTGGTCCCCAACATTGGGCCTCCAGATGTTCTTGGACTTCAACTCCCAGAAATCCTGGCCAGCAGAGGTGGTGTTGAAGGCTTCTGGGAGTTGTAGTCCAAGAACATCTCGAGGCCCACGGTTTGGGACCACTGATCTAGACAATCAGAGTTTCCCCCAAGTTTTTATTCTACTTTCTAAGCCAGTGGTCCATAACCTTGGATAACCCAGGTTTTCTTGGTCTGCAGCTCTCAGAAATCCTGGCCAGCACAGTTGGTGGTGAAGTCTTCTGGGAATGGCAGTCCAAGAACACTTGGTTGAACCAAGGTTAGGAACCGCTGATATAAGCACTCCCCTTTCCCAGTTTTCTTTTTTATGTCAGCAATGGAGGGGTCCAGCAGCTGAAGTTTGGGATAAAACAGTGGCCTAGGCAAGATATATTTGGTTACATAGTCAGCCAAGAAGGGTGTTTCCACAACTAATCCTTCCACACACAACTCTGTAACTGGAGTGGAGTGAGAATGGGGAGAAAAAAACAGATGACCTGCTTCCACTGCTGGAATAAATTGGCAGAGCAAGTGGGGTTTTTGTTGGTTTGTTTGTTTAGGATTTGTGCTTAAGTCACATGGACTTCAACCCAAATCTCAAACTTTTGTGGTGGTGTGTGCATCATCATCCTGCCACCACCAATGCTATCGGCACCTCCACCTTCATCTCCTGTCATGTGGGTCTGATGGGGGGGGCATGGAGGAGAACAGAGACAGTGGGGAGAGGATGAATGGGAAAGGGGAAAGGGCTTTCCCCCCAGCAAACCTGGTACATATGCACACATACAAACATACAAACACGCGTGCACACATAGAGAGGAGAGAGAGTTACATTGTGGAAGCATGAGGGTGGTTTCTCCTAGATGCAAGAAACTAAATTTTACATACTTTTACTTATAATCACAATCTTCCTTCTCCTTTATCCACCCCCAAAGTGCTTCTAAAAATACTGTACATATTTTCATTGCCCATTGCCCAAAGTTTATTGTATAAACTTTCCCTTTATACAATACAGCTTTCATAAATTCTTCCCATATTTCATTGAATCTGTTAACTTTTATCTCTCCCTTCTTAACTTCATTTCTGAGGTCAGTTTACCATTAACTGATAATTATTCCATATGTCAGCTGGAAATCCTAATTCTTCTTCCAATTCTTTGCTATAAGCAATTGAGCTGCAGTTATCAAATTCATTACAATTTGTTTTTTTTTCCTTCATGTATTATTCATATCACAATTTTCTGTAATCAATAACAGTGCTGTTTTTGGAACTATTTCAATACTGACTTCCAACAATTCTCTGATCCCTTTAAACACCTTGACCCTGTACCACTGCACCATACAGTCACAGGGTTTTTTTCTCACATTACTTCACTGTCCCCCAAAAGGATGGTGGCATCCGCCCAATTCTCGACAGAGGCATAAATCAGTACATTACCACCACCAAATTTCGCATGGTTACCCTTGAGTCTCTTTTCCCACTACTCCACAAGAAAAACTGGTTTGTGGTAATCAACCTTCAAGACTTCCACATTTCCATCAATCCAGCTGACCGGCCTTATCTGCACTTCCAGCTAGGGGCTCAAAAGACTCTCATTCAGGTTCACCACAGCCCCCTGGGTATTCTCCAAATGCATGGCCCCTGTAGTAACATACCTCCCGCTGCATAGCATTCAAATCTTCCCATACATCAATGACTGGCTTCTTGTAGCTTACTCTTGCCACAAAGCACAGTGAAACATCCATTTCACTCTAACCCTCATTCAAGATCTTGCAGTAAACCAGCAAAAGTCTACCCTACTACTTACCAGATATATTAATTACATTGGAGCCTACCTGGACTCCGACAAAGCTCAAGCATTTCTGCCAGATGACAAATGTCAACATACTCTCTCTGCTCCGCATCTTCACCCCTCACATATTTGTTCCTGCATTGACAGTTCAGTGTGTCCTCAGCATGATGGCCTCAATGACCTCTGTAGTTCAGCATACCCGCCTAAAGATGAGATCCCTTCAGGCATGGTCTCTGGCCCTGTTTGACCTACTCTTCGGCCTGCCACATGCCTTCTTATGTGTCACTCCAGAACTTGCCTCCTAACTCTCGTGGTGGCTCTCCATACAAAACATGACAATGGGACAACCCTTCCAGCAACCCTGCCCACGGGTACAAGTCACTATAGCTGGGGATCCATGTCCAGTGGTCACAAAAAGAGGAAATGCTTCACATCAATGAATTAGAACAAACTGCCATCATAAAGGTCTGCAAAGCCTTCAGAAACCACCTTTGTAGCAAAATGGTCCAGATAGCCACAGATAATACCATGGCAATGTACTACATCCTCAAACAAAGTTATATTCACTCACCAAGCCTCCTATATCTCACTGTTGATCAGTGGGAGTGGTGCCTCTCACATCACATTTGTCTCATGGCAGTCCATGTAGCTGGCCAAAACAACAACCTGCGAGACTTACTCAGCTGCAAAGAACACCAAGCCCACCAATGGGAACTAGACTAAATGATTTTCCTCTTCCTCTGTGCATACTGGGGGACACCCACAATTGACCTGTTCACATCCACAACAAACCGGAAATGCAAACACTATTGCTCCTATGCAGGAGTTGGCAAGAACTCACTCCCTTGGCGATGATTTCTTCTTAAGACATTGGCCCAAAACACTGACCTACCTACTGTTCCTACTCCTCCACAAGGTAGTCGTCTGTCTCCCTCAAGACAAACCCAATGGTATTCTGGTAGCTCTGTGGTGGCTACAGATTAGACTTTAGGCATCCTTCAGTCTCAAAAGACTATGGTAACGTGCTCTGAACAGAGGTCTTCAAATAGCATCTAGTGTGGCTGAGGAGGCCAATTCAAGAGTGACAATCCCTTCCACATTGAAGACAATCTGTCCCCTGTCCAGCTTCCTGATTTTGCTGGGTCCAGGACTGCCTCTTTGATTCGGCCTGCTGGACAAGTGTCTCTTCCAAATGGGAGGGGCCATAATGAACCGCCTACCTCCAGACTGAACACTCGGATGTCAAGGTTTCCCCTCGGTTGAGGTATATTCCTAAGGCCTTCAGATCCCACTTGCAGATATCCTTGTATCACAGCTGTGGTCACCCTCTTGGGTGACTTCCCTGCACTAATTCTCCATACAGGAGATCTTTTGAAATTCGACCATCAGCCATTCTCACAACATGCCTAAGCTAATGTAGACATTGCTGTTTCAGTAATGTATACATGCTAAACATTCCAGTTCGTTCTAGGATTACTCTATTTGGAACTTTGTCCTGCCAGGTGATACCAAAAATGTGTCAGAGACAATGCATATGGAACGTGTTCAGTTTCCTCTCCTGCCATGCACAAACGGTCCAGAGCTCACTGCAGTACAGGAGTGTGCTCAGGACACAGGCTCTATAGACCTGGATCTTGGTATTGTATATGCCATCAGCTTCTAATTAAGCCATGCTCTCTTTGTGAGTCTAGAGAACATGGTAGCTGCTTTCCCAGTGTGTTTATCCAGCTTGACATCTACGGAGACAGTGTCAGAGATTGTTGAGCCAAAGTACACAAAGTCATGAACAATCTCCAACTCTTGTGTGGAGATGGTAATAGAGGGAGGTGAGTCCATGCCCTGGGCCATGACTTTTGTTTTCTTCAGGCTGATTGTTAATCCAAAGTCTTGGCAGGCCTTGCTAAAACAATTCATGAGTTGTTGGAGGTCTTCAGCAGAGTGAGCAACAGCTGCATCATCGGCGAAGACGAATTCCCATATGCATTTCAGTTGGACTTTTGTTTTCGCTCTCAATCTACAGATATTAAAGAGCTTTCCATCTGATCTAGTTTGGAGATAACCTTCTGTTGCAGTTCCAAAGGTGTGCTTCAGCATGATAGAAAAAAAAAACAGGGTCGACACAAGGATACAGCTCTGTTTCACTTCGCTTCAGATATGGAAGGGATCTGATGTTGAGCCATCAAAAACTACAGTGCTCTTCATTTTCTCATGAAAGGACCTGATGATGTTAAGGAGTCGAGGTGGACATCCAATCTTGGGAAGTATTTTAAAAAGGCCATCCCTGCTAACCAAATCAAAGGCCTTTGTGAGATCTATGAAGGCCACAAAGAGTGGCTGTTGTTGTTCCCTACATTTCTCCTGCAACTGTCTGAGGGAGAATACCATGTCGGTGGTGGATCTATTAGCTTTAAATTCACACTGTGATTCTGGATAGACTCTGTCTGCAAGCACCTGGAGTCTCTTCAGCACAACACGGGCAAGCAGCTTCCCTATAATGCTGAGAAGAGAGATGCCATGGTAGTTATTGCAGTCACCTTTGTTCTTATACAATGTGATGATGTTTGCATCCTTCATGTCCTGTGGTACTCCACCTTCCCTCCAGCAAAGACAAAGGATTTCATACAGCTCAGTGGTGATGATGCACTTCAGCACTTCAGCAGGGATGTTATCCTTCCCAGGTGCCTTGGTGGAGGCGAGGAAATCCAAGGCCACTTTTATTTCTGCTAAAGTTGGTCTGCTGTCCAACTCTTCCAAGACAGGCAGGCACTTGATGTTATTTAGTGCCTCTTCGGTTGCTACAATATCTCTGGAAGATAGCTCAGAGTAGTGCGGGACCCAGTGCTCCATCCGCTGTGCTCAGGCCTGGATGATCACGCCTGTAGCAGACTTCAAGGAAGCAGATTTCTTCCATATTGGACCTAAAACCTGCTTGATACCATCATACATTCCCTTGATGTTACCTGTGTCTGCTGCTATCTGTA